GCTTCACACGTGCTCTCTCGTCTGATCTGCACAAGGGTCCTGTGTTTGGGAATACCTGTCCCCGTTTTATAAGGAGGAAACTGGGGCCCCAGGAGGCCATGTGACCTGCCGAAGGTGACGGCCAGGGAGGGGTGTAGCCGACGTCAGCACAGGGCTATCTCCCTTCCCGCTCGCCCACCCTGCCACCCCGTGGAGGTGGGCTGAAGCGTGAAGGCAAAGCTAGGACAATGCACTGATGAGGCTGGTGTGCAAGCAAAGGTGTGGCCCTCTGGGCACCCAGGCCGCCCTTCCCCGCAGCCTCTGCCCCCGTCCCCACCCCCGAGTTGCAGGAGGACGAAGCTGTTGTTCACCACACCTGTCAGGCGTTCTAAAGGTTCCTCATGAGACCCAGCTCCAATTTATAGATGTGCAAACTGAGGCTTCTCAGAGTTCAGTCAGCTCTCCAGGGTCACACAGCTGCCCTGGACAGTGGGTGCAAACCCGGCCTTGCTGGCTGCTGTCCCGGATCCTCCGCCCGTTCCTGGTGACCGAGCAGGACTTTGCCTGGAGGGGTTGTAGGGGAGGAAACCTGGGGGGTCAGTGACCCTCAATCAGACCCGAGCCGCGTCCGCCCCACTGTGAACGTGAGTGTTACATGTTGAGGTTGCCAGTCATGATTCTTTTTATCCCCAGCAAGGCTCTGCGGTGCTGGGGTTTCATTATCACGGGGGGATTAAATAGTCACAGCCCTTGTGTGATTGATTCCTACCACTTGAGTTCGTGTTTTCTGTTATTATCACAGTGAGGGACTTGTTAAACCACATGTTACAGCCGAACCTGAAATTGTGGAGAAACGAACCTGCTGAACTTGCGGTCAGGTCTCGGGGTGTCGTGCTTCTCTCTCTTTCTCTGTTTCTCTCTCTTTTAAAGTTTGAATAGACTTTATTTCTTAGAGCAGTTTTCAGTTTACAGAACAATTGACAGAAAGAAGAGAGTTCCCATATATGACCACTCCGAACCCCCAGTTTCCCCTGTTAACGTCCTGCATTGGTGGGAGCATTTGTTACACTGAGGAACCAGTTTTGATACGTTGTTATGAACTAAAGTCCATGGTTTACGCCAGGGCTCACTCTTGGTGTCCTAAGTTTGGACAGATGCGTAATGACATGTACCCAGTGTGACAGTGTCGTGCAGAGTAGCTTCACTGCCATAAAAGTCTCCTGTGCTCCACCTGTTCATCCCTCCCCTCTCCCACCCCCTGGCGACCAGCAGCCCTTTTACTGTCTCATAGTTTTGCCTTTTCCAGAATGTCACGTAGACATTTCAGACTGGCTCTGTCACCTAGCACGGTGCATCTAAGTTTCCTTCCTGTCTTTTCCTGGCCTGAGAGCTCATTTCTTGATACTTCTCTTCTTTATGTGACGTCTGAGTACCAGACACGAGTCCTGGCAGGAACAGCCCCGTCCCTGTCTTGGGGCCACGTGGAGAACACCCGGGGCGTTGCCGTGCGCGGCCCTGAGCCCCGGTCCCCGCCTCCCGCCTGCTTGCTCAGCAGCAGCAGCAGCCGCGACAGCACTTCACCGGCTGCTGTGAGGAGCAGGACCCTTGGGGAGCGCTCGGTCACGTAGTGGACCTACAGCGTCTCCTCTCCATCGGGCAGCCGCGAGAGGTGCGAGGAATGAGTCCATATGGGGGGGGTTGTAAAAAGGTCCATGCCACAAACCCACAAGATTCTCAGACGTGATCCCAGGGCCAAGCGGGCAGATGCGGGCTGGAGGGAACCCCTGCCCCGGCGGTACCTGTGCAGTAGACAGGTGTCCTTCGTCACGGTGCAGTGTCTACCTCCCGCCACCAGAGGGCAGCACCACCCTCCCGCCGCCTAGAGGCACTCCCCCGCCCCCACCCCGCATAGGCTTTTGAGGATGCTCCAGGTGGGCAGCGTTGGGTGCCCCCGGCAAAACGATGTCTCAAAGTAGCTTTTCCCCCAAACCAAATCTATCTCCAGTAACCAGGAAACTGGTGATGTCAGCTGTGTGTCCTTGAAACCGACAATAGCTATTGTGTACTGAGCACTATGGTTGCTGGACCCTGGGCTGCTTGCTAGGCAAACATTTCTGCCCGCCGTCCTAGCATCCCCCGGGGCAGGGGATGTGAGCAGAGTGTCGACGGACAGAGGGAAGGCTGGGAGTTCCGGGGACTCCCCGAGGTTGCAGCACACAGGTGGTGAGGCTGCAGCTGCACGAGCCGTCTGCCCCGCGGCCCGGGCTGCCCCCAGACCTCTGACACGGATCCCCAGTGTGGCTGGGTGGCGTTTCCCTCACCCTGGATTTGAGCCAGATTCCAGTAGTATAAAACTTGCCTTGTTTCCCCTTGGGGATGAGAACGTATTGTTCTTTGTATGCCTAACAGATGAGAAGATCAGTGTTGAAGATTCACGTCCCCCCACCCCCTACAGTCTCCATTTAGCCTCGGACCTGTCAGCCCCACGTGAGCCCCGGGCAGCCCCAGGCCTGTGCAAGGGTCTCAAACCTCGATTCCAATGGCTTGTTCCGCTTGGGGAGTCTTAAATTCACGCCCAGGAAATCCTCGCTCTCTGCCTCCTCCCAACAACTTTAATAACAATAGACGAGGTGTTTCTGCAGTTATTCTCAGGAAAAAGGAGTGAGGGGCAAGCCTGCTATTGAACTTTAACCCAGAGCAGGAAATGTCACCGTAGCTCCCAGGACAACAGACCCTGCTCACGGGGCCGTCGCCGGTCCCTGTACCGTCCAGTCTGCTGTTTCGTCTCCCGACTCCTCTGGAAACGAGAGGCAGGCGTTGACCCAGGCTTGGGGTGCCCAGGGTGACACCCGGTTATTTTTGGTGCCACTCGTCTTCCCTCCTGCTCCTGCTTCTCCGGGCAGTGTGGCTTCTTGTCGTCAGACAGCTGGCACCCTGCTGTCCTTGGGATATTCGGAGCCCTCCTCTTCAAAGGCCTTCTGTCCCCAGCAGGCCCAGTCCCTCCTCTGTGCTGCCCACTGTCAACCCCCCACCGCGGGCAGGGGCCTAAGAGGAGGTGAGGAGCCCTGCTCTGGCAGATTGGGGGCTACGGGAGGTGGGGTGTTGGGGGGTGGGGGGCAGGTGGGAAACTGGATGGAGAAATGCCATCCTCTGTCTGACATCCACCTCCTCCATTTTTACAGCAGGGGTGAGGAGACTTCCAGGCTTGATGTTTCGTCAATGCTAGTGTTAAGCAGTTGTGTCAATGTGTGTGTGTGCATGTGTGTATGAATACGCTGAACCCGCCAATGAAGCATGGCAAGTGTTTCTGGGCTGGCCCCACATCTCCTGGGCTCACTGTGGCTCAGGTGCCGGGGGCAACTCGCCTGCTCCTGCAGGCATCCCCCCTCAGGCACCCGCAGCTCCCCTGGGTCTGTGCTGGGCCTCTGCTCAAATCTCGGAACCCACCCAGCCCAGCCACCGGGCAGCCCAGACACCGGGCAGCCCAGACACCGGGCAGCCCAGACAAGGGGGACGGGGGTTCCGTCTTTGGGACAACCCTCCCCCAGGGGTCAGGAGGCGGGGACAATGTGGAACATGGTCTACCTGATTCCCTGGAGGGCCCCGAGGGGGTGACCCTGTTGCCCACAGCGGTGACCAGCTCCATAACACGCCTGCCGTTGGCTTCTGCCTTCCCTGCCTCCCCCTCCACCCCTCCACCCCTCACTCCTTCCTGCCACCTGGGATCCCCCATGTACACCACCTGCACCCCATCCTTGTCTCAGCCTCAGGTTAGGGGGCCCCAGACCAAGACAGGAGGGCGGCATCAGAAGATGTGGGAAGAAGTAGAGACCCTCCCCCCCAAGAGAAAAGCAGAGGCTGTGCACTGGGAGCTGCTGTAGCAGGGGCTCTGCCACTGCCCCCTGCGTAAGGCAGGCAGAGGAGTGGGCACTTCACAGAGGAGAAAAGGGGGCTCGGGGGCCCTGACGGGGCTGGGGGCCTGGGGATGGGGGAGGCTCACCGGGATGGAGTGTCCAGGGGGCTGTGGGGGGCAGGTCTGGCTCTCTCCGTTCGGTCCTGAGTTGGCAGTGGACAGCCGGCTCGGGTCCCTGCGTGGGCCCGGGTCCCTGCGTGGGCCCTGCTCCCTGCCCGCGGGCCTCTGCGCCAGCCTGCAGCTCTGCCATCTCTCCAGCTCCTCCTCGCGCTTCAAGTGACTCTGCTGGGAGAGAGCTGGTCCCCAGCCCCTGGGCTTCCCCCGACCGCAGCTCTGCCACTGAGTTGTCACTGTTTTTCACCCGGCTGTCTCCACCCCCGGCTGGAGCTCTCGAGGGGCAGACCCGCTGTGGCCCCCAGCACCCTGCGCACTGGCCTCTGTAGGCACCTTTGGGGGACATGGGTGAGGACCTACTGATGCTGCCCAGACCCCAAGAACCCACAGTCAGGTCCCTTAACCATCCGCCCTGACCCATCCCTCCATGGGTTTCCAGAGCCTCCTTAAACGTCCTAGGCTGAGGCTGGCTTTAAGGGGGACAGCGACAATATTCAGGTCAGTGTCCCCAGGATGCAAAGGGAATTTGAAGCAAGCTCGCAGGACTGTGGTTGCAGGAGAGATGACTCTGGGTCTCCTGGCTGCAGAGGGGCTGTGAGCTCACCAGGGGGTGCCTGGCTCCCGAGGCCCTGGAGGGCCAAGGTCATGCCGGCTGAAGGCAGCAGGGGGATCAGCCACCCTTTGGGAAGGGGTAGTAATCACCCCATCAAAGCCAGTGTGCACACAGAGATGGGGCCTGGGACCACTCATTGGGTGGGGCTGCTGTAGACAGATTGGGAGATAAGCCACATAGATATAATGGAGTGATGTGAGGGGGTGACCAGATGGCCTCTTGCATCATCCACTGGTCCCCAAGGAAAAGAATCCGAGTCTGTCCCCTGACGCCCTGGGACTTGTGCTGAGGGGGTGTGGGGTCCCCGAGTCCTGACACTGTTGCTGCCTCCCCCCTGTGCCTGGTACGTCCCACCCTGTAACCGGCTGCTTCTCCCCACAGTGTCGGAGCCGCAGGCCGTGCACAGTGCCCTGGAGAAGCCGCCCACCACGGCGATCCTGTGCCACACCTGCGGCAGTGTGTGCAAGGGGGAGGTGCTGCGCGTCCAGAGCAAGTACTTCCACATCAAGTGCTTCGTCTGCAAAGGTGAGCATCCCTGCCCTCCCTCCCGGCTGTGTGGCCACAGGCACAGCCCTGCCGTGTGGCCTCCAGACCGGGCCTCCTCGCTGCCACTCCGGGCCCCAGAGTGTCTCTGGGAATCTCGTTAGATCTGGGATGCTGGCAAATCCGCAGGGTCCAGAATCTCCGTACAACACTGTGGCCTGTGTCCCTTACGGTTGTGATGAGGAGTCAGCCTGAGTGGAGAGGGTCAGAGGCTGAGGTCCAGGTCCCAGGAGCGTCCTCGTACAGCTGCACCCAGTGTCCAAGGATTCAGATCCAGTGGCCAAGGCAAAGGGGCCACCTGGGCCCTGTAGCCAGAAGGTAAATTGTCATTGTTGTCGGTATGACCTCAAGAGTGCGGGGTCACAGGACCTAGCTGGGCCACAAACCGTCGGGTGCCCCACCCAGCATGGATGGAGAACATTACCATTCATTCCAGATGCAAATGCTTTAATTTTTCTCTAATTGTAAAAACTAACATGAATAATATATTAAATTTAAATAATAGCAAAAAGATGAGTAGAAACTAAAACAAAGTCACGTGAAACCCCCCCATGGGAGAGGGGCTTTGCTGCGAGCATCCTCCAGCCGCCTTCTCCTTTCTATTCTGAAGGTAACGCGTGTTCCATGCGCACAAATGGAATTACATGCACTTGCATTTAGTTTCCTAAAATATATGAAAAATAGCTTTTGGGGGAAGGAATGAGCAAGTCAAACCAGTTTGACACAGTTGGCAGTTTTAAAGGAATCATATTAATGGTACTAGAAACAGTGCCCCACCACGTCCCCCACAGCGGGCCGTGTCGTCACTACCTGCCTTCCTGTGGGTTTGACGTGACGTTCTCCAGGCCGTTCAGAGATGCACAAGACCTGAGCCACAAGGACCCTTGATGAACCCAAGGAGCAGTGAGGGTTTGCTTTTTTGGGGCAGATAGAAGTGGGAAACATGCCGCACAGAGGTAGTCAAGTGACGGCGTTGTTATCGACACCGCGTGGCCCTGTTAAATTACTGCAGCTGTGTCCACAGGCTCCTCACAGGGTCTCAGGGGCCCTCCTGTGCGCCAGGCCCGGCAGAGGGCTCTTGAAAGCACTGAAGAAGAAGAAGGCTTAACTTGGACTGGTGAGGAGATAAATATACCAGCTGAGATGTGCAACAACTTGACCTGAAATTTCGCTTTTCATAGTAAAAACCAAGAACTAGGAGGTGGGGGTGGGGCACCGGGAAGGATTTGGAGGCTTCCAGAGACGGCTTCACAGAGGAGGTGGGGTTTGGGCTCCAACTTGGAGATAGGAGGAATCCACTGGTCTGAGGGGGAGCCAGGCCGTTCTGGGGGCAGGGGCAGCATGCACGCAGGATTGGGGAGCAGCCTGCAAGTCGGGTGTTCAGTGGCCTGACTGCCGAGTGCAGGCAGTGGGCGGGAGGCGAGGCTGGGGGCCGACTCCTCCAGGTGCCAGCAGCCCTGGGAGGGACGTGCGACTGTCCACCTGTGAGGGGCTGCGGAGGCTTGAGATGTAGGAGCTCGTCCAGGGCTTGATTCCAGGCCTGATGTGGCCCCCGAATGAGGGGCTTCTATCCCGAGTGTTCCGTGGAGGCCCCTCCTGGGCAGGGAGACATGGGAGGGGGGAGAGCGAGGCAGCAGGTAAGCCCCCCGTCCCCAGAGGGGCTCCGCTGCAGCCACGTCAGGGTCTCAGGCTCGGAGTGACGACTGTGTGTTGAGTCCTGTTGTTTGAAACGAAAAGGTGAGAGCCACCAGCCAGGACTCTTCTGCCGCGAAAGAGGAGCCCCCCCGAAATGGCCCCAATGCCTCCTGGCCCTGGAGGAGGTCAGAGTGCAACAGGGGAGACACAGGGGGCCCAGCAGGGGCCGGTGACTCAGGGAGATGATGAGTGCCGCCCCCTGGGACCCCGCGGTGGGGGCTGCACCATCTCTGGCAGGGGTGGGAGTGCCCTGGGCCCCTCGGTCTGAGGCTGACCTTGACCCTGCCCCCCAGAGGTGCTGCAGCTCCATACGTAGGCCTGGGGGCTCTCAAGCATGTCACTGAGGGTCACTTGATACCCCCAGAATCGCCTTGATCTGGGGGTCCCCCGCACGTCCACAGCCTGGCTTGGCCCCCGTGATTGCACAGCTCCGTCTCCCAGGTCCCTCAGCACCACCACCTGACGACGGCTGCCGGAGTCCTAGTGAGGGGGACGTGGGGCACCCCCAGGACGGCGGCTGGGGACCGTTTGGAAGAGAGGAAGCGAGGGGCACACCCTGGGAAGGTCCGGTTTCTGGGAAAGCACGGAACAGCCGTGTGTCGTGGTGTGGGAATGGAGAGCCCTCAGCGTTTCCATAAACAAGAGCGCATCCACCTGCCTTTCCCCGGGACTCTGCGCCCGCCGCCGGGCTCTAGAATGAGGGGGGTGCACCAGCACCAGCGAGATCTTTCCTGAGCAGGAGGTGATGGCCGCCCCATCAGTGCCCCCCCGCCAGTGCTCCCCGCCTGTCAATGTCCCCTCGGTCAGGGCCCCCCTGCTCAGTGTCCCCTAGGTCAGTGCCCCCCCCACATCAGTGTCCTCCCCGTAAGTACCCCCCGTCAGTGCCCCGCCCCCATCAGTGCCCCCCACTGGTCAGTGCCCACCGGGTCAGTGCCCCCCCGTCACTGACCCCCAGCAGTGCCCCCCCGTCGGTGCCTCCCGTCGGTGCCCCCCCATGACTGCCCCCCGTCACTCCCTCCCCGTCAGTCCCCCCGTCACTGCCCCCTGTCGGTGCCCCCCCCCCGTCACTGCCCCCCTGTCGGTGCCCCCCGTCACTGCCCCCCCGTCACTGCCACCCATCAGTA